AGACTAAAGCTCATGACAGTGTACTCCAACAAACCAAAAGGTATCACAAAGGCTGAAATAAAAAATATGAAATGGAATGACATCATAGACTCTGAAGATCTTGAAAAGTGTTGTAAGATATTTAAGGACAAAATTAACTGTATAAAGGACAACTTTACTGTAAAGGTCCAGAGGAAAAGTCTAACTTGCCTTGGTTAAATGAAAATGTGTGGAAATTAATGAGAGATAGAGATACTGCACTAAAAAAGGCTGTTAAATCAAAAAGGGCCACGAACATGCTGATTTTTAAGGGCTAAGGAATAGGACTATTAAAGAACTGAGACAAGCTAAATCCAGTTTTTATATTCGTTTATTAGATGATGCAAAAGGTAATAGTCAGACTATATGGCAGAACATTACCAGTCATACGAGGAAGGAACCACATTTTTTTATGATGTCCAGCTTAAAATAAAGGATAAAATAACTGGTGACAAGGCTACTGTTGCTGCTACTTTAAATCTTTATTTTTTTGAATCGGTGAATGAACTAGGTAAGAATTTCAAAGATAGGGAAGTGGATATTGTACCTGTGAACATTACAGAGGAAGCTTTGAGCTATCCCTCACAAATGTTACAGAAGTGAGTAAAATAATTGGCTCCTTAAAAAGCTCAAAATGTAAGGACAATTACCAGTTGGACACCATGTTTATTAAAAAACACTGCAATGTCTTTGTTCCACCTATTACTCACCTAAATAATCTATCTCTTACACAAAGTCTTTTTCCCAGTGCATGGAAACAAGCAATTATCACTCCGATGTTTAAGTCTGGAAACCTCCACGAAACCCGTAATTATAGGCCCATAAATATTCTGCCCATATAATCCAAGATTGCTGAGAAGGTTACAGCCCAACAACTGACATCCCACCTTGACACTAGCAACCTTGGCTTACACGCAATGCAGTTCGGCTTTCGGCCCAATCACTCCACTGAAACAGCTATGCTGTATCTAATAGAGCTGATAAAATTTCAGTAAGATAAAGGAGGGGGGGTTGGTGCGTTTTTTTTAGACCTCTGAAAAGCCTTTGATACAGGTAATCACAAAGTTCTTAAATCAAAACTCTCGAAATTCAAATTTTCTCCTGGAGCACTACAATGGATGTCTTCATATCTTTCTGACAGATCACAGTGTGTCAAAGTTAACAGATCGCAGTTGGACAATGTAATGTGCTCCATGGGTGTTCCCCAAGGTTCTGTGTTAGGGCCTCTGTTATTCAGTCTTTATGTCAATGACCTTCCACAGGTGTGCCATGGTGTAGATCTGCAAATGTATGCTGATGACACAGTCATTTACACTCATGCAAAGACTGCTGAGCTCGCAGCTGAGACACTACCGAATACTTTTGGAAGGATCACAGAGTGGCTTGATCAGTCATGTCTCAACCTCAACGTTACCAAAACAAAAGGTATGTTTTTCTCCAAAACAAAGCAATCTGTTAGTGCTGACATTTTAATTAGAACTGATAAAATAGAAATTGTAAGCCAGTTTAAATATCTCAGCGTAATGCTGGAGTCAAATCTAAATTTTAAGTCACACATCAAAAACCTGATAAAAGCTACAAAATACAATCTGGCAAACTTTTGGCACATTAGTGGCTGTCTCTCTGTGGATGCTGCAAAGACCTTCATGCACGGTATGATCCTGTCCCACATGTCATATTGTATCACATGTTGGTGACAAGGTGGGCAGGCAGTCATCAAACCACTGGAGTCTCTTTACAAACAAAAAAATCAATGCAATACCACCATTGCAGGATTTTAGATAAGCATCATCTTCTGAGCTTTGAAAATTTGAAGCTGTTTTCGAATATGGGTCTTGTTTTTAAAATTTTAAATGGTTTGGCCCCTCCTCCGCTGCGCCAGTTTATTCAGTAACGCTCGGCACGATCCATAAAATTCACAAGGATGTCTTCCACAAGTGACTGTTTCCTACCTTTTCGACGCACCACTTTTGAGCAGTCAGCTTTTTCTGTAAAAGCTACGACTCAGCGGAACGCCCTGCCTGATGACATTAAGAACTACGTTTCTATCGACTGTTTTAAAAACAAACTAAAAAACTTGCTAAAGGACACTCAGAACTGCAATCATTCATGCCTTTTTAATTGCATTGTGTGTGAGTGTGTGTTCGTATGTGCTTCTGTGTATGTAATGTTGTGTTTCACTGTGTCATGTATTTTATAGTCCAGCTTTTTTGTGACATTTTAACACTGCAATGTTTTCATTTTGACCTGTCAAGGGACTGCAGATGGAAATTAGCTTAAAGCTAACTGGTGCAATACATCAAATGGCAACATTTATGTTTAACATTGTACATGGTTCCTTTTTAAATAAACTGATTAATTGAAAAAAAGTAATATAGTACAAAAAAAAGTGTGTAGCTTGTGTTTCTGCTGTGTGAACTGTAATATTTTAAAGGAATATTTCAAGAACTATCAAGTAAATAGTATATTACAGGCGCTATGCTTGTGAAATAAAGAAAAGTAATGATTTCTTTTTGCTTTTAGCAGCCATATACTTTTGTTAATTTTGATGTTGAAATCATCAAATACTATAACCCAGTAGCATAAGTATGCATATAGAAAGACAAGAGAATGGTGGGACTTTCTGGGGAAAAGGGTTCTAAATCCATTACATTTACTCCTTCTGGTCATGATGGGGGTTATTCACTTGGAGTCGTTATGGCTGTGGTATACTGATAATGAAACTCATTAGTTTTATTTCAGTGGACTTAATAGCATGTCATCAAACCTGGCTTATGATAGTATAGTCAGTGGATCACTGAGTTCTGCATTGAAGGTGTGACCTGAAACAGCAGTACTTAAAAAAAT